AAGTTTAGAGGTACTTATACTTAATTATTTTACGCTTCTTCATACTTTGCAGATGTAGATTTTACATACAATATATGATCTTATCAAGTCTGATGCTTTATGGAGTAAATTGTAACTGATTTATACCCAACAGAATATAAATCAGTTAAAATGAGCTCCACCTCAATCAGCTACAACATTAAAATTCTACTTCCATATTAATACATTAGGAATAAAAAATCCAATAATGTGATATATAATAATGTAACCCTCAGAGGAGGCAATTTATTTTGAATGCAGGACTTTTTTTTGCTATTTTTACACTGCAGGATTACTGCTTGGACTAAAGTAAAGGATCTAAATACTTCATCGCTGCACATGAAATAAATTTGCTTGTTTCTCAGATTGACAAAATGCCCAGTTTCAACATTGAATGGTGAAATACCAGATCTCAACTGGGCACAAAGATCTTTGCTTCTTGGATGAATCATGTAAAACACAATTGTCCATTCTTTGGTATAAGCGATGTGTTTTTGGCACGTTCCTCCATTGGCAGTGTAGGTTTAGGCTTGTTAGGCGAGGGAATCCTGTCTGCATGATAATGCTGGGGACAGCTCTGCCCTCGAGCCCAGCGGTGGCTGTCAGTTTGTCACCACCGAGCTCTGGATGTCTGCTCCCTGCGGGCAATGGTCCACATTGACTGTCTCTTCCCCTCTGCATCTCTGGGATTCTCTGTGTGTCTTCTTCTCTATTTCACTCGCAGTCTATATATCTCTTTGTCTCTTTTGACAGTCTGCTTGGTCTGCAGGTCGTCCTCCCATTTTTGTCAGACAGACGCGCAGATGTCTGCTGCAACAACCTAAGTGATCTCCATGTATTCTGTGTATCAGCACACACACAGACACACAGTTACTCTTTAAACGGTTGTATGCTCGGTCATGTTCTTGCTATACCCTGAAACAGCCACATATCTCTTTATCACTCTATCACAGCTTTGAATGCAGCATCATGCACCACTAATTCTGGCTGTTTATGAAAAAAGGAAAGCATGGTCAGATGGGGTTGTTGAGCTAGAGAGTCGGCATGGCTCCTGTCAGCCATATGGTAAATCCATCTGCCCTTCCTCCCGCAAGCCAAAAAAGTTATACAGGACATTAGCTAAGTGCGTCCTTAGCAAGCGGCTCCTGTCACCTTATGCAGCTGAACTGGTCTGAAAGTGTCTTGTCGTGTTTCGTAAATAGGCTTGTGTACAAGTAGGCTACAGTAGTGAGGAATATAGAGCGCCAAAATTGAAGTTCACAGGCTGAGAATGTGATGTTCCCAGGAGCTGATAAATCTTGCACTCTGACTGTAAGTGTGTGTGTGTGTGTACACGACTTGTAGGGAGGTCGTGTGATGCTAGCTTGCATATGCAGAAAACACCATATGTTTTTCTTTTTTCTTTTTTCTTTTTCTTTTTTTTTTTTTTGGGACACCTTTCCAACCCCACCTGCACCTCGGGCCCCTGCGGCTACACCTCACTCGCGCTCTCTGGCCCTGTTCGCACCTGGTATTAACATGTATCTTCAGTGAACTGATCTAAAGTGGTCAGCTATTGTTCGTCAGTTCACACATGGCTGTCTCCACATGCGCCTCGATTGACCACTTGTGATCAGAGCACCCAAGATGAATGTTGATACCAGGGCCTCTATTTGCTTTCAGTGAAGATTGAGACAATTATTATATTTTATAATTATTATATCATAAGACCTGTGCACAGTGCATTACCCACGGTGCCTCTCTCTCTCTCTCTCTCTCTCTCTCTCTCTCTCTCTCTCTCTCTCTCTCTCTCTCCTAACCAGATGTTTAAAAGCTGTTTGTTTGTTTACCCAGTGGATGTCACTTTGATTGATGCCTCCCATAAAACTGCCTGCACACCAATGACACATACCTCTGTATCAGAGTAC